TTTTGGGACAGTAATGCAATATCATCTGCGAAGTCTAGGTCGTCCAGTTGTGTAAACAGGGTCCACTGGATCCCATTGCACCTGTTGTCAGTGGCTTGCCGCATGATCCAGTCGACCACTAAGAGGAATAATAATGGAGAAAGTAGGCAGCCTTGTCTAACTCCTGTTGTGATGTGAAATGCCTCTGTCAGCTGGCCTTCATGTATGATTCTACACTGCATTCCAGAATAGATGTTCTTGATGATGGTGATGAACTTCTCTGGTATGCCGTAGTGTTTCATCAGTTGCCAGAGCACTTCTCTATCCAGACTGTCGAATGCTTTCTCAAAGCCCAGAAATACTGTGTAAAGTGGTGACTTAAACTCTTGTGACTGCTCAAGGATGATTCGCAGGGTTGCTATTTGGTCGGCACATGATCTATTTTGCCTGAATCCAGCTTGGTTGTCTCTAAGCTCTGCATCCACTGCTGCCTTGAGGTGTTGCAAGATTACCTGGTTTAGGATTTTGCCTGGTACGGATAGAAGCATTATACCCCTGTAGTTGCCGCAGAGGCTTAGGTTGCCTTTCATGGGTATTTTTACCAGATGGCCTTCCTTCCATTCCCCAGGCACGTTTTCTTCCTTCCAGATCCTACCAAACAGGTCATATAGCATTTGCGAGGATGTTTCAACATCTGCTTTAAGAGCTTCTGCCAGTACATTATCTGGACCTGGTGCCTTGTTGTTCTTGGAGAGCCTGATGGCTTTTTTAATCTCTGCTTCGGTTGGCCGTCTGCAGTCAACTGACAGGGGGACTTCTGCAGGTTGCATATTTGCCCTTACTGCCAGAGATGGTTGGTTCAGTAGGTACGAGAAGTGCTCGACCCACCTCTTCATTTGTTCTTCTTGTGTATACAATGTCCTTCCTCCCTTATCTTTAACTGGGTGGTTCCCTTTCTGGTATTTTTTGGTCAGGAGTCGGATGTTGCCGTAGAGAGCTTTGATGTTGTTCTGCCTTGCAGCTTCCTCCGCTTCTGCTGTAAGCTTAGCTACAAAATTCCTCTTCTCTCTCCTAGCACTCCTTTTTACATCCCTGTCTGCTCTAATATATGCTTCCCCAACTGTTTTCTTAGCTGCTCTTGTTTTGCTATTGTTTAATACATCCTTAAGTTTCTTCCTTTCTTCTATTCTGATCAGGGTGTCAGGTGAGAGCCACTCCTGGTGTTTTCTCTTCTTGAGCCCGACTGATGCTTCACAGGCCCCTGTAAATGCCTCCTTTACTTGCTGCCAGTGGTTTTCTATTGTTCTGGGTTCCTCTTCCATTTCTTGTAGTACTATGAAGCGGTTTCTAAGTTCTATTTGGAAGTCTGCTTGTTTATCTTTGATGGTGAGTAGTGACACATTGTAGCCTATTGAGGTGCTGTTGTGATGTTTTTTCAACTTAAGTTTTAAGTTAGCTACCAATAGATGGTGGTCCGTGGCTGCGTCAGCACCCATCTTCACCTGAACATCTTGAAGGCTTCTCCTGAATCTCTTGGAGATGCAGAAATGATCTATTTGGTTTTCTGTCTTCATGTCAGGAGATACCCAAGTAACCCGGTGGCATGGTTTGTGGGGGAAGAGGGTTCCACCAATGACAAAATTGTTATTAGCGCAGTGGTTGGCAAAGAGTTCTCCATTCTCATTCATCTCTCCAAGGCCATGCTTTCCCATCACTTGTTCAAAGCCGGTGTTATTGCTGCCAACCTTTGCATTCACATCCCCCATTAAAATGGTGAGATCCTTCTCTTTACATTTTCTCATGGTTTCCTCTAGCTTTTGGTAGAAATCTTCTTTTGCCTCCTCCTCTGCTTCATTGGTAGGGGCGTAGCACTGGATGATGTTAACAATGATGCGCTTATGTGAGGTCTTGAATTTGGCCATAATGATCCTTGGGCTCACTGGTTCCCATCTTAAGAGGGTTTTCTGGGCTTCATTTGATAGCATGATTGCCACCCCATCTGAGTGGGCAGCATTATCTCCCGTGCGCCCGGAGTATATGATTGATTCTCCTGATGAGAGCCATGTTTGTCCTGCTTCCTTCCACCTGGCTTTGGCAATTCCAAGTATATGGATGCCATATGCCTTCATTTCATTAGCGATGGACCACCAAAACCCAATCAGTTTATTGTTAAGTCCAAGTGGACATTCTTGTCAAATTAAAAAAATAAACAAACAACAATCCCTCAAAGCGTTCTTAAGATATTGTATTCACGAGAATGAGATGGATGCAAGGTCACAGTGACCTTGACCTTTGATCACTAAAATCGAATGACTTCATCGTTGAGTCCAAGTGGACCTTTGTGCCAAATTTGAAGAATTTCCCTCAAGGTTTTCTTGAGATTCGCATTCACGAGAATGGGATGTACGTACGTATTGACAATCTGAACACATAATGCCTCTGGCCATGGTTATCACCAGTGCAGAGGTATAAAAATCTTTTTTGAAAACACACATAGGTATGGGTGCTTCACATTTGGCTGATGTGGCTCCTTGCTTTCCTCAAGTGCATCTCTTCCTTGCACCTTCGCTACTCCCAGCGGGGATGTGAAGGGAGACAATTAAAATATGTTAGTTAGGCTACTGAAGTAAAACAGCAGCAAGGTGGCAAAATAACAAAAAAACAAACAAACAAAAAATATAAAAGTGCCTGAATAAAGTCTAACATAAGTTTGTCAAGTCTAGGTTGCTATTAGGACTACTAATAAAAAGCACAGCTGTATAGGACTGTAACTGTTCATTTTTGCTTAATGAGTCAAGAAGCAATTGTAACGGAAGACAATAGAAGCATTTTGACTTAATAAAAAGAAGACAAAGTTGCAACTTTATCATGATTTATTAATGGTTCAAACTAAACTAAAATTGAATCTAAACAAAACAAAAATCAAATCATTTTTTTCATGGCTGATTATAAGTAAAATCTATAATTTAAGCTGTCACTCCTGTTTCCACAGGTTGGTTGTTAGTTTACAATCATGAAAAATCATTAACATTTCAGTTAAGCGGTTTCTACAACAGCTGTTTACTTCTCAGTCAGATCAGCTGAGCAATCACAAACAATCTGGCCAGAATCCTCTGTGGAGCCTTCTTTCTCCTCATCTCCTCCTAGACTCATTTAGGGGTTGGAATTTCCTAAATGACATTAGACCTCCATCAATTAATGGGAGGATGGAGAAGTGAGAACAGGAGGAAGCATAATTAGCAGAATGGAAAGCACTCTATGCATTTCTTTGATATGACTGGTATGGGCTTACCTCCACCCTGAAGCCACTGAACACCCATTGCAAAGTTACTGTTAGTGAGAACTGCAGTTGCACTGGGTGCTTTTCCTACAATACTGCATTTTGACCACATCTGAAACTAAACTTGGACAAGCCACAAAGAAATGATAGTTATTAGCTCTAGCTTAAGTGTTTTCAAAAATTGTGATTTTGTTTTATAAGAGGAAAGGTTTCTGGCATGAGGAGTTAGTAGTATCCACAGAAATACAATGAGAGTCCCATTCCAATCAACCTAGCAGGATGGTCAGAGCGGTGGCCATTTTTGGATCAGCTGATTGATGGAACGGAGCCAGCTGATAGATCACATGATTCCTTTCGATGCAACCAATTGGCAAATCTCATCCAGGGCACCGTATTTAAACTACTTTGGCCTGCCTACTGTTGCTGCTCCCTCTGCAAGCTGCTTTGCAACCCACCTCCACCCCAGCTCCTCCTTTTCATGTTGTGTCTGACTTATCACTGTCATTTCTGTTTGTCATTGATGCTTGCTCTGTTCTGTTCCTGGGATGTCTTTGCTGCTGCTCTTCCTGCCTTAGGCTTTCCATGTAGGTATGGAAGGGCAGAGAGGTGTGTTCTCTCCACCTTAGGCTTTCTGCATAGGTCCTAAGAAAGGCAGAGAGGCATCAGAACAGAGCCATACTGCCAAATATAATACTGCAAGTTTTCTTTGACTAAAGTGGTCCTGACTGAAATACCATTTAATTCCCAGTGTCCATCTCACGAAAATGCACAGCTGCATTGACCAGCGTCCCGTAAATATCCTCGAAATGCTCCTAGGTGCATGGGCCCATTCATTGCTGCTTGTTTCCTCTTTTTTTATTTAATTTAATTTAATTTTATATACTTTATTAATCCCCGAGGGGAAATTCAATTTTACACTCTGTTGTCAATTACACACAGGTCCGAACACACACATGCACAAACTGGACCTATACATGCACTAAGTGGAGAGATGTCAGAGTGAGGGGGCTGCCCATGCCCATGCGCTCTGAGCAGTTGGGGGGTTCGGTGCCTTGCTCAGGGCCTCCTCAGCAGTGCCCAGGAGGTGAACTGGCACCTCTCCAGCTACCAGTCCATGCTCCATATTTTGGTCCGGACGGGGACTTGAACAGACAACCCTCTGGTTCCCAACCCAAGTCCCTATGGACTGAGCTACTGCCACCCCCTGCTGAGCTACTGCCGCCCCCTTTTCCCTCTGTTCTTATTGTTGATTGCTTCTGTATTCATTTGTTTTGGTATTTTGTGCCTATTAAGCACTTTGGTCTAGTGCAGGGGCTTTTTTAATGTGTTCTACAAAAATTTTGATTTGACTTTGATCAGTGTTATATGTTAAATAATTTAGAATTTTGTAGAGCTGTTTGTATTAAAAACAAAAAAACAAAAAAAAAAACAAAAAAAAAACCTTTCAAGTGGCTGACAACAAAACCACCAGTGGTTAACTGAAGGGTGATAAATATCCTCCCTATTCTTTCTAAAACATCTTTCATGTTTGTCTCTCCTCTTTATATCTGAGTGGTCAAGATGACAAGTGCACTTTCTCAGATGTGGAACTGTTTGTTGAACTTACCCAATGCTAACACAGTCTGCATGCAACAACTTCCAGTTTGAGTCACTGACAATAGAAAACTTGTATTCAAAGCTTGGAGGCTGGTAAAGAAGCTGAAGTCAAAGCAGCTCTTCCGGTGATGTGGGGGATTATTACCTGCTGAGAGCCTCTATGGGCTTGTCAGGGTGGACAAGCTTCCCACAAGTCACACTAGAAACAGAACAAGGGAGGGAGAGAGAATGACAAAAACAAAATTGTGACTTTGAAAACTGAAATTAAATTCAGTCAGCAACATGAAATAAAATATGACAGAAATCATAACAGTAAGAATAGAAAAGGGCAAACATAAAACAATGAGTGAATGTATGTAGCTGTCACTTTTGAGGTAGGTCGACTAAAATATCTTTTTGTTGTGCAAATGAAACATCGCGTCCAGGTGAAATCAGGAAGGTTTTGTGGTCAAATCCAAATCTCTTTGTTCATCTAAACTTTACTTCACTGGCGCCTCCTTCCAGGCGATCTGATTATTAATTCAAAGCCATACTATTCTTCCATTCATTCAGATTTTTCACTCATCTGTTATCAGTTCCTATAGTTTTCTTAACCTCTTATCTTTCTGTTGTTTGTACAATCAGACAGCTGAAGATATCCAGCTGAAACTGTTAATAATGAAGTGAGGAGACAGATGGAGGAAGCAGGAAGAGAGAAAGAAAAAGACAAAGTGTCAGAAAGGGTGAGAGCTGAGCCAGATGAGCTTGATGTATCTTTGAAAACGCCTTCTTAACTTGTGAGGATGGGGAGAGCAGCAGGCTATTAAAAAAACATCAGGGAGATGAACAGAACAAGATATTAGTGAGTTAAATATATCACAAAACAGAAGAAGGGGAGAAAGGAGAGGGTCATTAATAAAAGCAAAACCTGCAGGCATATGGCACATTCTAATGAGATGAGAGGAGGAAAACTTCCCCCAGGGGACAAAAAGAAAACTTTCTGGATGCGGGTTTTAGGAATCTCTTAATTGAAACTTCTCTGTAGTGAGTGACATTTGAATAGCCGGAGAGCTGTAGGGCACTGACTCCCATTAAATATCTTCAGGCAGTGCCGAAGGAGAAATCAAATTTGTGATAGGGAAAGAACTGAAAATAAAAGAACTTCAGAGACACAAGGCTAGGCTTCTGCTTGGACAAACCAGTGTATGTGATTGACAGCTGAGCCAGGAGGGGCATGGAGACACAATACAAACAAAGTAATGCTCATAAATGTACAGAAACTGATGTTTCATCAAATGGTAACACCCTGTTTATACATGATTGGCTGCTTTTGGGGAAAGTGAGAAAGTAAGCAGGGTTTAAACTTCTCTATATAGATCTTTTGTTTTTCTTTACAGTTACATAGTAATTCTACAGGAGCATACTGCTAAATCACAGTAATAAAATGTACATAAACTGTGAGGTTACAGTTAAATACAGGTGCTGGTAATGTCACTGTCGCTTCTTTAGCTAGGTTACTGTCACAACAAAGACAAAAAGCCCATTTGTGGGAGCAGATCGGCCAGTGGACACTATATTTCACAATCACAGCTCTATTGAGCCTTGTATTCCTTTAGCCTTTAGCAGCAATGATTTTATGAGCATTTTTAATGACAAAATTCTAACTATTAGAGGCAAATTTCATGACCTGTTGTCCTCAGACAGTACCTCTCTGCCCTCAAACACAGCTGTAAGACCTGATATATATTTAGGTTGCTTCTCCCTGATTTCTCTTCAACAGTTGACCTCAATGATTTCTTCATCCAAGTCATCAACGTGTTTCTTAGACCCCATCCCAACTAGGCTACTTAAGGAAGTCTTACCTTTAGTTAACACATACACCACCCTGGATCCAGAGGTGTTTGCCAACTATAGACCAATATCTAATCTTCCCTTTCTTTCAAAAATCCTCGAAAAGTAGTCACAGGCCAGCTGTGTGACTTTCTCCATGATAATAATTTATTTGAGGAATTTCAGTCAGGATTTAGAGTGCATCATAGCACTGAGACAGCACTAGTAAAAATTACAAATGATCTTCTGAGTGCCTCAGACAAAGGACTCGTCTCTGTACTTGTTTTATTAGACCTTAGTGCTGCATTTGACACAATTGACCATCAAATTCTACTTCAGAGACTGGAACATTTAATTGGCCTTAAAGGTTCTGCACTAAGCTGGTTTAAATCTTATTTATCTGATCAATTTCAGTTCATGATGAATCATCTTTACATACTGGAGTTCTACAAGGTTTGTGCTTGGACCAGTTCTGTTCACTTTATATATGCTTCCCTTAGGTAACATCATTAGAAATCACTCTGTAAATTTCCATTGTTATGTGGATGATACACAATTGTATTTATCGATAAAGCCAGAAGAAATGGATCAATTAACTAAACTTCAAAAATGCCTTAAAGACATAAAATCCTGGATGAGTTCCAAATTCAGACAAAACTGAAGTTGTTGTTCTTGGCCCCAAACAACTCAGGAACTCTTTATCTGATGATATCGTTTTTCTGGATTGCATTGCTCTGGCCTCTAGCACTACCGTAAGAAACCTCGGAGTAATATTTGATCAAGATTTGTCTTTTAACCCATTTAAAACAAACCTCACGGACTGCGTTTTTTCATCTGCGTAACATTGCAAAAATTAAAACATATCCTTTTCCAAAAAGATGCAGAAAAATTGGTCCACGCTTCTGTTACCTCTAGGCTGGATTACTGTAATTCCCTATTATCAGGTAGCTCTAATAAGTCTTTGAAAACTCTCCAGCTAATCCAGAACGCAACAGCACATATACTGACAGGAACTAAGAAACAAGATCATATTTCTCCTGATTTAGCTTCTCTGCACTGGCTCCCTGTAAAATCCAGAATTTAATTTAAAATCCTACTCCTAACTTACAAAGCTCGAAATGGTCAGGCTCCATCATACATTAGAGAGCTCATAGAGCCATATTATCCCACCAGAACACTGCGCTCAGCGCCTTCAGCTATCAAGCGCCTCTTCTGTGGAATCATCTTCCTGTTTTGGTCCAGGAGGCAGACACCATCTCCACATTTAAGACTAGACTTAAGACTGTGCTCATTTATAAAGCGAGAAGAAGTGAAGAGGCTTGAGGCTTTTGTGCTACTAAGACGTCTTTGTATTAGGCTGATTAAATCAATTAAAATTTACAATAAAAGTAGTTAGCTACAAACTTCATCATTGATTAATTGGGTCTATGTTACGATGCATGGCATGAGCTGTGGCAAAATCGACACCATGTACCAAACAGCATATGAGCGTCCAACTATCGTGTCCCCATTGTGTAACATTGGAAGATGCACCTCTGTTAGATCTTGGAAACAAACCAAAAACCTCCGCTGGAGATCAGTCTAGAGATGTAACCCAGCACATTCTCACCCTGACCTCGTCACACATCGACATTTGGTCATGGACTTTCCAAGTCGAGATATGACATGAAAGGTACCTTGGGTGTGTTGGTTGTTAATGTTCTTGGACACCGTGTCAACTTAACTGTTACATGCATTGTCTGTTTTCAAAATACACTTCTGTTTCCATAGGAAATGAAAAGAATAGGGTTGGCTTTACAATCAACGAGGAAGTCAACACCAGCCTCCTGGATGAAAGTTGGTGGTTGCTGGACCCATTCACCACCTCTCCCACCCACCCTACTTGGACTTTCAGCCTCCTTCACCCCATTAAATAACACTGTTTCCACATTTTCCCTGATGCTGCCAAGCACCATTACACATTGATGGTGACCAGCCATGTATCATGCTGACGTAAAACGATGACTTTTTTCAACAATGTCTGATGCCGGAAGTCACTGACCAAGTGCCAGTTTTTGACAGCTGCGGAGTGAGACCAGGTTGATGAGTATGGGTATTTTCCCAGGGGGTATTTGCTATCTTACTACATTTGTATGTTCTCAACAGAAAACACACGTTATATATTGATATTTACTGTATTCACCTGTTGCATATTGGGAAGCGGTGTTCCCTGTCCATTGTGGTGCTTTTGAAGTGAGCAGCAGGAATAGCTGGTCACCATTATTCTTTTAATAATGCCTGGCGTGTCAGGGGGAAACGTGGTGGGACAATACCGAAAAGTTATGGTGGCAGAAGTCTGAGTAGGGCAGGCTTGAGGGTTGGTGGATGGGTCCAACAACCACCCCTGGGAGGCCAATATTTGCGTTCCATAAAATTGTAAAGCCAAACCCTGTTCTTCTTTCCTAAACCCAACCACGTGCTTTTGTTGCCTAAACCCAACTGTGTGTATGTTGGCTAAACATAACCACGTGTGTTGCTGAAAGAACAAAACATCAATTTGCAGTTTTGAACTGATGTAGTGCATTTATTTTGAAAGACACTATATGCAAACTGTATATTCCCTTTGAAAGCAGAACTGTATTCTGAAAACAGATAATTCACGGAACAGGCTGAAGTTGACACGGTGTCCAAAAATGTCAACATCCAAAGCACCCAGGGTACCTTGCAAGTCATATTTCGACCTGGAAAGTCACCGACCAAACATTGATATGTGACGAGGTTGGAGTGGGAATGTGTTAGAAAGTAATACAATTTGCTTGACATGGATATTTATGGTGCCCAGGGGGTAGTCCCTGAAGATTTTGGTGACCTCATGACCTTTTGTCTGGTGCTACCATCAGGCCAACATTTTCACTCAAAGAATGACCCAGAGTTTACTTAGCCCCACCCTGACAAACTTTACATTACTGTTTTACCAATCACTGAGCATCTGGTAAGGCTCTAAACACAGCAAAATCTTCAGTTTGTTGACTAATTCTGTCAGTAATTCTGTGTCACTGGCTGTGATATACTCTGCAGCTACGAGCTTGGTGTGTCTGTAGTTCTGATTACAATCATCATGCCGGCATGTTCAAACAAAGATATTTAGCTTTCACCTGTCATCTTCATGCCAGTTGGGGCGGAACAAGGTGAAACTCTCATTAGCAGTATCACCACACTTAAACACCTGACTTTCTCACCTCCTTTCTGCTCAACAAGTTTAAAAATATAGGCCGTGCACACCTCATTTACATAACTTACACAAACACACACACACACACACACACACACACACACACACACACACACACACACAGAAACCTCAGCACTCCTTTATGAGAGCAGTGTGACAGAGGAGATAATTGGGATGGG